AAAAGGGCCACAGAGAACCGGAACCTGCTGCTTTATGGAAGAACCGATAGAAACCAGGAACCGGTGTTTGTGTTTGCGAGAAGCCGTTTGGATCCAACACCAAGGCTTTGGGGGACAAGGGACCCGTGGGATCTAGGATCCAGGAGTTGCTGTTTATGACGGAACCAGCGAAAGATAGGGTCCAGGGTCTTGTCTGACGAAGGGGCAAGTAAGAACGAGGAGCTAACATTGGGAACCAGGTACATGCCTGATCACTGTGCACAAAACACCTACTGAGCGGACAGGGGTGTCACTTGGCACACTGAGTGACTGAGTGGGGCAGTGGCGTCAAGCTGCTATGTTATGTTTCCGTGATGCATGGAAGCATGGCCTCAGCGAAAACGAGCCCCTCCCAATTATCTTTGGACGATGTCCCTCCTGTGCGCAGGAGTTGCACCGCTGTCGCAGACGCAACATATTCTGCGTATGTGAGACCTAATATTTTCGTGTTGCTATGCGAGGTCAGACAAGTCCAGATGACAAGGAAACAGGGTGTCTGAAAAACAGGGGGCCTTGGGTAAAATTCAAACGGGGGATGATGAAACCAGAGTTATGCGCAGGCGCACAGCGCATTGCAATTAATGTCGCCCATATTTCGTTAGGAGGTTGCACAAACACCGTTTTCTGCGTACGTGCACTGATAAAACATCGTAGGCCGTTCCCGTCAGCTGATTTGTTAGCCTTTCACGGTCGTCGTAATCATGCTGCAGCATCAGATACACGCCTGAACGTCAAAACGTTTATTAAGATCAAGTCGCATAAGTGAAAGAGAGCGTACCAAAGCCTTGCCCATTAACATAAGGGCATACCTGTGGTAATCAGCGTAATGCTGCATAGATATTGTGCGGCCTCACATCAAATTAATCACTGCAACACAAAAACGACAAGGGAGCAAAGTACCAGTGGAAAGCCACCACAAGGTGGGAAGATCCTTGTTAGATCCGAAATGGACTGTCACGTTGTGTTCTCAGGAAGCTGCTGCAGTGGCGTGGTGTCCCAATGATCACCGTTATTTGACTGTCACGCTGGACACCCTCCACGCCAATTTGCGAGAGAAGCTGGGCAGGGCAACCCTACCAATCCACTTGCTATCGCACTGGTGGTGGGGCTCAGGGAAAAGACCGTTGATGGATGGTCCTCACGAATCTGAATCAGGTCTGTTATTTTCCTTTCTGCACCTGAAGCCAGGAGGTCTGTAACTTGTTTGGTCGTAGGAATATTTTTTTTTTTTTGCTGCAAATTATATGCCTGCAGATCAAACCCAACAAGATATATTGCGAACATTTATAACTTGTTAAATCCTTCACTAAACCACGTGAGCCTACATTGCGTCATCACTTCCTTAGTCTGTGATCACTTAATGTCGTAAATCGTTGGCAGTGAAATGTCAGATTCCGTCACAGTGGCACTCCCAATTAAAAAGGGATAACGGCAAACTCATCATGCTTAGCACTAGAGACCAGGATTAATTAGAGCGCCAGCTTGAGTAAGTGGCGTATGATAATATTTTGCGGTAACATTGGTACTGTACGGGTAGAAGGTCACAATGCCAGGCATGAAAGTAGACGAAGCCGGGCTGTCATTTCCAGAGCACCACCACCAAAATCAGTACATTGTCCATATTCCCCGTCGAATAACAAGAGAGATTTATTGATATTTATGCTACAAACCTTCGTCGAAACAAGCATTTAAATCAACGTTGGCTTTGATCAGTTATCATAGGTGACTTGAAGCGTTCACTTGCACATCAGAAGGAGCATTGTATGGAGAAAAGCCGTCAAAAACGGACAGCAGGAACACGCTACCTAAGCAAATGCTACATGAAAACGCCATCTACACGACATGTCAGTGCCAAAAGCGCTCCAGAGCAATGCCTTGACGCAACCATAGACCTAAAATCGGTAGGGCATGTTACAAATGGATGCGGCAGAAGTTGCTGCAAATTTCAGGAGATCAGCGGGAGTGGCCTTGCAGTCAGGCTGAAATATGTAATTTCATGCTGTGTAATGCTCCGTCTCCCCAGATAATTGCAGGAGCTGGCTGAGACGGAAGGCACAGTAACGTCGTCGCGTTTCCACGAAAAACAATAGATTATAAAACACTTCTCGAAAGCCGGAAGGAGGAGGAAAAGCGACGCACCCGGGTAGGGGGACCCTCAAAAAGGAAACATCCTGCTAGCGAGCCAAGCAAAAATGGGATCGTCGCAAGCTCCGTCAAGTTGTCCGACATTTCATCGACGCTGATGTTGAACGACAGTTTGTTTACTGTCTCCACGGAATGTCGCCCGGCCAGAGCTGTCTCAGTGGAGAGGTCGCGGACGGCGCTAATTGGCGCGATAGTAAGATCAGACCGGGCCCCAGCCTCGGACAGGATCCGAAGACAAGGCCGAGAGAACTTCAGCCGGCGTGGGAGCTTGACATCCCACAACAGAGCACTTCAGGAATGGCTGACGTCGGCTGACCGGCATTAATGAGCCGCTACCGGTGAAAACACATCACGCTGGCTGCTCGGAGTGCGGTGAGCCGTCAGGGGGGGGGGGGGGGGGGGCGTTACCGGACCTAAACAGGCATCTGAGTCGGACGCCGCCACTGGGTCTGCCGAAGAATGACCTGAAGGAAAGCTCCCGTCAGGCGGCCGCCCCGCAGCGGAAGTCCTGGTCCGAACCCGCCAGGAGGGCAGTCAGGAGGGGCCAGGAGGGCAGTCAGGAATTTTTAAGGGAAGGGCCCAGGGCTCGGTAGCTGGCATCACGCCAGTTTTTAACCTTCTGTTGAGAGCCATCTCATGTGGAACGCAACAAATACAGGCCTAAGGGCGTCGGGCCCCCCGGCCAGTCCCCTGGCTGCGTCCCTTGGCCAAACCCCTGACCACCAGCTCAGCCTGGCGTGACCGGCACTGCTTCCGGCGTCCTAGCGGAGCTACGGAAACGGTCCCACAGTCTCACGCATCACCGCCTCAGAAAGCGTTCTGAGCAGTGTGTGAGCGGTTTGCGTTCGATTTTTTTCACTGTTGTATTTTATCCGCCGCGTCACCAGCGACAGTTTACGCTGTGTTTGCTTGATGCGACTGCTGCAATCACAGCTCAGTCCAGGTTTCCCCTACGGAGCAGTTCATTGGTGTTATCGAGCCCCGAAGCAGCGCTAACCTGCACCAAACACACCCTTAACCTATGAGACCAGGGAGGCTGCGTGACGCGGACAGAAGGACCACTGCATTTTGTAAATGCAGTCCCCTAAGCCACAAGACCAGGGAGGCTGCGTGAGACGGGCATAAGGACCACTGCATTTTGTGAATGCACACCCTTAACCTGCAAGACCAGGGAGCCCGAGTGACGCGGGCAGAAGGACCACTGCATTTTGTGAATGCTGTCCCCCATCCCCACCCCCCACCTCCAGACATCCGGCAATTCGCTGAGGCGCGGCACGAGAGCGATCGTGTGAGCATCTGTGGGCGGGATCGTGCGGATATCTGCACGGGGTGCGTGGCCTCGAGGCGCCCTAGAAGTCACGTGGTCTGTCGCCGATAGTCACCCGAGGACCCCGTCCAAATTCCCACGGCTGGAGGAGATCGATATCCTGCAGCCTTGGTGACGGCCGGCTCCTGCCTTCACTCTCACGCAGGCAGATGTCCTGGCTGCCGCTGTGACGAGCGTGCGAGGAGGGGCGCAGCGCGCGATGGGCAAACTGGAAGCTGCTGCACGGACGTCGGCGCTTGAGATGATACCGCAGTAAAAGTTCCGCATCCCTCTCGTGCTGACCCAGCATCTAAAGTATTTCAGCCCCGAAGAGCACCGCATAGCTTAAACTGCATATCTTCACATTCCCTGCAGACTTAACCCTCTGTCTCTGACGTGTATGCAAAATGGCAATATCGGAGCATTACTTACTGATGTGCCCGCCCACGCTTCCATCAGCCGAAATAAAGCGACTTGTCAAACTTGACGTTTTGGTCTGGCAGTCCATACTCTTTTCGAATATAGACGAAGTCCAATGGAGTTTGAACAGTATCGGAGGAGTCCCAAATTTGTTGAATGGTAGTGAGGCGCATGGTAGTGACGAACTAAGGGCTAATTATCAACACGTAATCACGGTCAGCCGGAGTGCCTCGCAACGCAAGTCCATCTCCATGGAACCGATAGCTGCTCACTCTGCAGATGCCTTATATCAGGGCAATCCTAGCTTAGTATTTTTACTCCAAGAAAGGGAAGATGGTCATGTTTTATTATTGCCAGCGCGGTATTATTTTGTCATCAAAGAAGCACCCTGTCGGCGACTGCAGTGTAACCGCACAAACTGTCGCATGAGCCGCAATAAGTCCTTCTGATGACCGCAAACGGGATCTCATGCAGGGAATACAGAGCTGCTAATAGGTTCTGAGAATTCGACTTGCATCCCTCACCTTCAAAACAGGCCTTGATCAAAAAGGTGGATTACAAATACCACTTTAACCACCTCAATTGCTCTTCTGTCACTTCGAGCCTCCAGCAAAAACAAGGCTCTACTGCTTTTACATTGCTCAGGCCTACATTTACAAGGCAAAGTATCGCGCCTCATGTATAAACCTGAACAGCACGTTTGCTAGTGCCGGGTTAGCATATTCTGCGATCAGTCAGCTGCTTAAGATGCGCTGGCGTCTTCATTGTCCAATCCAATGTCCAAAATATCACAGGCGTCCTCCACCCAGTGCATTGGCAATGCACCAGTAGACCGGAGGACTCTGCCAGCTTCGGCAGCACCAACGGCCACGAGCATATCATAGCAAAACAGAAACCCGACGCAAGACAGCATCAAGGACATCTGCTCCCTGCAAAGCCCATGCATAATCGCCGCTCGCTCTCTCCTGCCACCCTCAGACGCACCGCTATAGCCTGTGATCAGCAGTAGCTCCCTGTGCCTCCTCCTGGCACGCTGCACCGCGGTTCCGCGCGCTGGGCCCCTCCTCAGCGCCACGCGCTCCACACTTACCGCTCTCGCTGCCGACATGCTCCCAAGTTCAAGATCAAGGTTAGACTGGCCGTCGGCGGACAGAGGCGGCTGCTGCGGCCTGCCGGGCTGGGGGCGCTCTCTGCGCAGTGTGGCTCCGCTCGTCACCCAAACCGGCGCGCGCTGCGCTCCCCTCGGCAGCGCTGGCTGCTGACCACTGCACCCTGTCGCCCCCCGGCCCGCTGAGCGGACCTCTGTCACGTGATTTATAATCCGGCGGCGGCGGCCGCGTTGCTCGGCTGCCGCCGGTCACGTGGTCTGGAAGGACGGGGCCGTGGTCAGCGGTGCCGCGGCGGGTGCCGACCGACGGACTCGGTCCGTGCGGCGGGTGCCGACCAACGGACTCGGTCCGTGCGGTGGGTGCCGACCGACGGACTCGGTCCGTGCGGTGGGTGCCGACCGACGGACTCGGTCCGTGCGGCGGTTGCCGGGTCCGTGCGGCGGGTACCGGCCGACGGACTCGGTCCGTGCGGCGGGTGCCGACCGACGGACTCGGTCCGGGCGGCGGGTGCCGACCGACGGACTCGGTCCGTGCGGTGGGTGCCGACCGACGGACTCGGTCCGTGCGGCGGGTGCCGACCGACGGACTCGGTCCGTGCGGTGGGTGCCGACCGAAGGACTCGGTCCGTGCGACGTGCTCTCGCGTGACGTCACTGAAGCTGCCACGGGGCCGACGCGGTGTCGGCGTTGGCAGTGTGTAAGGTTCAGAGATGGGAGAGGGCAGCTTCCGTCAAACACTGAGGCGCCGCTTGCACGCGACATTTTCCGAATGCCGCGGCACCACGGGAGGGTGGGCAATAAACGCTTGTAACGGCCGGGCAGTGATTTCACGACGCTGAGCCCGCCCGAGACGATGCGGCAAGGCACCGGGGCGGTGAGGAGGAGCTGCACTTGGTACGGCTCTCACTCGGGGGTCACTCGTCGTGCCACAGCCGGACGCGGTGGCCGCAGCTGTGCTGACAAGGTGGAAGGGGAACGCCATGCTGCGTTGTTTTTTTTTCGTGTAGAGAAGTACGGCTGCCAATGTGAGCTTTCTTCGGAGATGGGCTGCATTGTACTGCTGCCCCCTCCCCCGTCGTCAACACACTTGGCGCCTCCACTAACTCCGTCAACACACACTTCGTCAACACACTTGGCGCCTCCACTAACTCCGTGACCATTGGCCAAGGTGACCCGAACCACTGCATTAAAACGCAGCCGTGAGATTAGGCTGTGCTTGCCGACGCTAGCGGATTTGATGTACATTGTTATCTTGAGTTGGAGCTGGACAGTAGTCGACTGTGAAGGGATCATAACATTGATGTAATATGACATGAGTTTTACTAATTGGTCAGTCACCGGGTATGACAGGGCATTTCAAAACGGTTCATCACCAACGTAACACACGGTGGTGTGATAAGCTCTAGCGACCATAGGCGAGAATAAACGCGATCAGGCAGGTGTTCAGGATCCCACTTGGGAGGGGACAAATCGAGTCACTTGGGCTTAGCCAAGGGGCTGCTCTTCGTCGCAACAGGGCCTTGTTTTTCATGGGTATAATCTTTTAAGCTCTGGATCCTGTTTCGGTGCATTGAAATCCCTCTTTAACGTTCTAGAAGCTCTACGGCGTTCTAAGCCCTCAAAGAATCGTCAGGGACTGACGCGCCTATCGGCCACTCGTGCCGCTCTAACGGCCGGGCGCCGGGCTGGCCGCCATAGCGAGGATGGTGAATAATCCAGCTAAACTGGGTATAAATATATCACCGTTATAATATAAAAAACACACAATCAGTGCCGAGTTTACCATTCATTTCTCGACAAAAAGGGGATAGTTCCTTGCAGAATCGGTGATTTCTATTGCGGTCAAAATCAGGTTGAGGTAAACAAAACTTTTTTCGTTTTAACGTTACCGGAACGAGAGCCCTCGTTCTTACAAAATCAGGTTTTCATTCATGCCAAGATATATACCCTCGCCTGTCAAGATGTACAGATTTGAACAGAAAACACCATCACATCACTTAAAACTTGCAAAAATGAAAGCCGGTAATTTTTGCAACATTTGAGAAAAAACGTGGTCCGAGGTTTATAGCCCAACACGGCCCTTCCCGCCTCTGGGGAAGGAGGGCTTGTGCTTTGTCGGCGCCGAGGCTTATAGCAGGCAGCCATCTAAGGTTCTCAACATGGGACTTGTCCGGTTTAAGGCTAAACTGTCCGAGTCGCTGCTCGCACAGGCTGGTTAGATTCCGGGCTTGCAGGCCGCCATGATTGAATGTGTCATCAAGACATGTCAATACATGTCTTGTATTTTTGGCATGTTTGAGTCGACTTATCTATGATTTTCTATCGTAGCTGGCTATCAACTTGTAATTGCCATACGAAATGGAAAAAATCGCCGAATACATGTCAACATATCATGCCGAGCTAATACTTCCATGGTTCCATGTAAAACATTGTGGACAGGGTCTTAGATGGATTGGGACTGCCAAGAGAGTGGCAATTTCACATTTACTCTAATTAGCAGAGCATTGATATTAAAAAGGCCAATTTTCAACCGCGATGAATCCCGAACAACCGACACATTGTCATTTGCTCTTTGTCTGGGGCCGTAACGCTTCGTACTAAACCACTGTCACAAGAGATGAATCGCCAGGTGTCGCTCATCTTCACATCACTGTGCAGACCAATGCCTTGTAACATTAATACAGCTTGAATCAAATTTTTGGGACAAGGAAGGCCACCAAAAAGTCAGGGAACACGCCGCAATTCCCGACGCAGTGGTCCTGAAGGCGATTGTTGGTTTGTTCGGTCACCTTAAACAGAGCTTGAAGCGGTGCATGAGGTGTCGTTGGAACGAAAGTGCCCTGACAAAACAAACATTGCTAGTCTGTATAAATCAACAGATTTGTCAGAGCCTGTGTCCTGGTGTTAAGTTCGGTCACAAGTAGCCGATCACGAACACCCCAGCTTAGTGCAGCATGAAACAACAGAGGATAAAAGGCTATTTTTTATCAATATCGGTTATTGCGTCATGCGCTCCTGGAAATTCTGTTACGCAATGCGATGCATGCTTGTGAGCAGCAGATGGTACTCACGTCATGCACTGAGCAATTTGAGTGTCGTGAGACGTGGGGACACACCTTCTGACACTCTAAGCGCACGACTAACATGTCACAAATACGCAGTGAAAACACTGGCATCCAGCCCCGTAACTATCGAGGTCGAAGGTACCGTCGCGCATGACCGGTGCCTTAAGATGGACTTATTACGAAAAGCTCTACTGGTAATAACTTAATGCGTCGAGCATCCAGGACACATCATTCAACATGACAGCTCACGTTTGATGAATGGTGCGCAAACGGAGCTTACGAAGACTTTGTGGTGATGCTAGATCCAACCAAATGATCAAATGCGAATCCTGATAGTGAAATGCTTATAATGTGTTTTCATAAAGCGATTAATAGGCAACCATACAGAATTGATTTATTTGGCATGAACTTTGACGACAAGTGTAATCCCTTGACTGCTTTGTGAACAGATTAGAATTAGACACTTCTAAAAGGTTGCCAGCGAAATATTGTCATAGAACCTTGATGACATGCGACGGCCATGTGTTCAATTCAGGTTAAAGTGATCGCGTGTGATAAAATATCGGGTCTTTACGCGATGGGGGACTGCGTTCTAGCCTGCTTGCATATAAGGACCCTGAGCATTGATAGGCTAACCCCATTGTCGTTTGCAAGAAGTTGATGTTATGTGTAATAGCATTATGATGCTTAACCCTCAACCTGATAGAAAGGGGTAGGAGGTTGATACCTCCGCCCCTCTAGGGCGTTACCTCTCCGGCAAGTCGTGAAATCGCACCCAAATCCTCAGCAGAGTGTGGAGCATCCATTGCGCGTGTTTGGCAACAAAAACGAACACTGGTGTTTCGAGCTTCGGAAAAGCGGCGGCTCTTCAGAAACACAGCGCCGTAATCCTCGGGCGGCGCGGGCGGCGGACGGCGAATCAACGATTTCGCGCGACGCGCCTGGCGGGCCGACGCTGTTTTGTTGCCGGAGGTATGTATCACATTAATATGCTCAAAATACATGAAACCACATACAATTTATTAGGAATTGATTAAAGAACACGCCTGGTTAGATTTGGTGTAGATACATGGCAGGCCTCGTACATGCGAGGTTTTTAAATATGAAGTTTTTATGTGCACATATAAGATATTCGTACGTATGAGCTTTTCAGGAAGGGGAAAAGTTAGATTTTCAGGAAAACTTGCCCATGACTAGGCACAGTAAGGTCAGTTACGGAACTAGCAATAGAAAGCTCGTCAATTATCGCGAGATATTGCTGAGACCAGCACACTTTTTTCTTCGATCCATCCTTCTTAGGGAAACAGCAGGTGGTCACATCGACCCCCCCCCCCCCCTCCTATCAGTCCTTTTTATGAAACAAAGCTTAGCGCTCCCGGTCATGGACAATAACACGATATGCGAACATATTTTTGCAGGATGAGTCATTATAAACCGTCATATTTAGATGTTTCCTTTTTATTTCTGAGCCTTAAGCTGCAACTGTAGCTAAGGAGAATCAGGGGACACTAACAAAAAACGGATATTGTACCCTCCCATAAATCCTTTACCTACCACAGTCGTTCACGAGACTCGTCCAGACGCTTCTTCTAGTATTTGAACTGGCGAAAATATTATGCTATTGAACTAGTAAAAATATTCGGGACGCTCAGTTTGTCCAGCTCTAACCTGGACAAGTTCACTGGGGTCAATGGCCGAGCCAGCAAGCCTCACGAAACGTGCGGATGAGGCAATGGCGTGTCCAGACCGACATCTTGAATGGTCACAGGACGTCAAGACAGCACCATTTTCCAGAAAATCAAACCTGAAAGGTGAACGTCTTCGTTGTCAGTCCCGTCTCCGAAAATGGCCGCTCCTCCGGCCGCTCAGGCTGCTTCGGCCCTTGCGCTGCCGCTCCTACCATCCAGACGCGGGCCCGAAGAACTAGCGGGTAATGGTCGATGAGTTGTGATGCACTTCTGCAGCCAATGCACAACTGCATGATCATGCTCTGCACGCGTTCGCATAGCAACACGTACTGCGCAACTGTTTCATCCAATGCTAAAGAAACGGTATAAGCCGTTTTGGGTTATAGAAACAATGTAAATCGGCTCCATCC